GGGACTCCAGGATCATGACCTGAGCCAAAGGCAGTCGCTTAACCAACTGCAGCTCATCCACATTCTTGCCCGCAGTTGGTATTGTCAGATTTTTTTAATATTTTGCCATGTGAATGGGTGTGTAATTGTATTTCATCTCGGTTTTAATTATTATAATGACTAATACGCAATACCAACTAATGATGTTGAGCTTTTCTTATTGCTTATTGGCCATTCATATATCTTCCTTGGTGAACTATTGCTTCAAATTTTTTGCCCATATTAAAATTGTTTTGTTTGTGTTTATATCATTGAGTTATAAGAGTTCTTTATTTATTTTGGATGTAAGTCCCTTGCCAGATTTGTGCATTGCAAATAATTTCTCTCATTCTGTGGCATAACTTTTCATTTTTTAAACAGCGTCTTTCAAAGAGCAATGTTTAAAAATTTTGGTTTATGGGGTGCCTGGGTGGCTCAGTCATTAAGCATCTGCCCCACTTCGGACTCCCTGCTCCACAGGAAGCCTGCTTCTCCCTCTCCTACTCCCCCTGCTTGTGTTCCCTCTCTTGCTGTCTCTCTCTCTGTGTCAAATAAATAAATAAAATCTTAAAAAAAAAAAAAAAGAGTTGTCTGTACTTGCTGCTTCTAATTTCTCTTTCCAGTCTCTCTTGAATCTACCTGATTCATCACTCCACTGAGACTATTCTTGTCAAGATCCCAAAATGACATGATGTTAAATTGAAGGTTATCTCTTAGCCTCAACTCAACCTGTCAACAACATTTGACCCTGATGATCAGTCTCTGATCCTTGAAACTCTTTGCAGGACATCACACTCTCTTGGTTTTTCTCCTTCATCACTGCCTCTTCCTTCTCATCTCTTTTGCTAGTTGCTGAGGACTCAATGTTTGTGCCCCCTCTCCCAATTGCATATGTTGAAGCCCTAAATCCTAATGTGTTGGGATCTGGCAGTAGGACTTTTGGGAGGTAATTAAGCTTAGATGAGGTCATGAGAGTGGGTCCCTATGATGGGTTTAGTGTCCTTTTAAGAAGAGAGGGAGATGAGCTTGCTTTCTCTGACATGTGAGGATACAGCAAGAAGGTGGCTCTCTGCAAACCTTGATAAGGGCCCTTCCAGGAACCACTCTGCCAGCACTTTGATCTTGAACTTCCAGCCTCTAGAACTGTGAGAAATTAATGTCTGTTGTTTAAGCCCCCTAATCTGTGGTATTTTGTTACAGAAGCCTGAACTCTGACTCTGGTTCTTTCTTCTCTCTGTGATACCTTAATGTCAGAGGGCCCCAGGATTTACCCTTGGACTTCTTCTTTATCCACATGTACTCCTTTTTTATCTCATCTGGTCTTATGTTTTAGATACTAAATTGATATCTCCAGCCCCAATTCTTCCCCACGCTCCACACTAGAATATCCCACTGTCTACTTGATAGCACACTGAGTGTCCAATAGGCTTCTCAAACTTAACATGTCCCAAACTATACCCTTTTTAACAAAAGATTTTATTTATTTATTTGAGGGAGAGAGCGAGCACAGAGGGTGAGGCGAAGCAGACTCCCCACTGAGCAGGGAGCTGGATGCGGGGCTCGATCCCGAGACCCAGAGATCATGACCTGAGCCAAAGGCAGATGTTTAACCAACTGAGCCACCCAGGAGCCCCTCCAAACTATACTCCTGATATCCCTTTCCAAACCCTTCCCCTTCCAACTCCTCCTCTGCTTTATTATCACTCCGTACTATATTTTTAAAATTTTGTTTTATTAATTGGTCTATATTCTCTCACTGCAGTGCATGGGTTTTTGTTTTATTCACTGTATGCTGCTGGGGCCTAGAATAAGACTACACATGTGATGAGCACTATAAATATTTGTTTGCTGAATAAAATTCTTTTCTTCTTCTCTTTCCACCTTTCTTCCTTCTCCTTCCTGCTTCTAAGAGGCCCTCCTGAGAAGTGATACATCAGTGTCCATTCAGCTTTGCTAGCTCAGTCTCTGAGGGGCTAAAGTTATATTTGGCCAAGAAAGGGACACACCTGGTGCCATGGGTAGGAATCCTTTCCAGCCTTGGGGCCACAGCTATCTCAGCTCAGAAGGTAAGTTCTACCTATCCTGTGTGGCTTATATTGTGGTTCACTTTTTCAGATCTTTTTTTTTTTTAAAGATTTTATTTAT